ATCCAATTTTACCCAACACTGGGTCTGTCTGCCGCTCTTTTCTCTGGCAACTCCTGTTATTGTCAAATCATTCTGCCTGGAGTCTTTTTTAAAATAATTATATGAAAGAACTCATCCCTGGGATCCCTTTTAGGTGTGCCTTCTTTTCCCTGCTGGCCACTGAGTGCTGCAGATTTTAGCTGTGCACCCTGCTGATTTGATGACCTGTTGCACACACATCTAAAGAGATGCCGGAGGTTTGTTCTATTAGGTAAAGCTTGGGAACAGAATGACTGTAGGAAAAACTGATGGCTGTGAGAGGCACAGATCAGGGGGAGAAGGGAGTAATGAATGATGGAGGTTATTCAGACAAAAAATGGAGGTGAACTCAAGATAGCTGCTGCTTCAAAGGGCTATATTGTGGAGATGCAAGTTTACAGGGGAAGAAGAGTATTCCATTTCAGCACAGGAGAGCTCTAGCAAAAATCTTTTTTTGTATTTTACTTTCCCTTTCCTTTCCCCTTGTACATTCACAAATTCCTTGTATAGTGTTGATAGAATACAAGGCGTTCCGTGAAATGACAGAGGAAGGGCAGGTATAAGACTGCATCTCCTTTGACCATTCGCAGAACACCTTGTATGCTGTTAACAGAATAAAAAACATTTTGTGAGGGGATGCGGGAAGAGGAAAGGGATGGTGAGGACACAATACATGCACTGTACGAGATCCAGAACTCTCTACGAGATCCAGAACTCTCAGCACCGCAAGAAGAGCGCTGACTGCAGTATCCAACATTAAGTGAAGCTAGCGTTTTTTTTTAATCAGCATACAGCAGCACTCATGACCTGGGATTACTGTTATTAGAGGTAACTGTTTTTACTAGGGATGCACCACTGCCGATATTTTTTTTTCGGTACTCGTCGATACCGGAAGTCCCTTTAAGGAAGCCGGGCAGCGTGTAAAGACTCGCCACCTGGCTTCCCGATTAGCAGGGAAGCCATCTCAATGCTCCCTCATCGCCAGCCGGCTTTCTGGCCAATCAGGAAGTCGGACACCATCTAATTATACTTTGCCCGGCTTCCTGATTGGTCAAGAAGCTGGCACCATGCTACCGTGTTGCCCGTGTAATACCGGGAAGCTGGCTCCATGCTCCCTCTGAAGCTTACCTGAAGCTTAAAGGAGAACTATGAGATGAGTGATTTTCACTCCGCCTCCTAGTTCTAGCCGACCTGTGACAATGAAACTGTCACAGGTTGGCTCAATAGACTGGGAAGTGAACGAACACATACCGTCGCTCGCTCACTTCTCGATCTATCGCTGCAGTGAGCCGTGACTGCCACTCACGGCTCCCTGCAGGGATTCCCCCGCTCCGATCCTCCAGCGCTGACTGGCGGAACGGACGTGGAGGGGGTGGGTACAGCTGGCTCTGCCTCTAGATAGGCAGAGCCAGCTGTCATTCACGCACCTGGGTGGATCTCGACAGTAATGTTGGGATCCGTTCCGGCTGCGGCGTCTCAGTATACCGCAAGCTGTAGCTCGCGGTATACTGAGCTTAGGGTAACGGGAGGACTCTAGTTTGTGTCCTCCCGTTACCCTTAGGAGAACTATGGGGAAAAACCCTGACCCCATAGTTCTCTTAAGTATCAGGCCAGGCATCGGAGCATTTGCCCAAACACTCGGCATCGGGCATCCCTAGTTTTTACACAGCACAATTTAAAAAATATATACATTTTCCTGGTGTTCCTGTCACCCGGGACAATTTAAATTTGGGTGAAATTTAATCCCACTCTCCTGCAGCCAGCCATGTTAAATACTTGCCACCTTTGCCGTCCTCCCCATTCCAGCAATCTTGAGTGTGTAGTCTTGCCTGGTGCCATACGGCCTTTGTTCCAAGTACATCCCGGCAGCCAGTAGAGACTTTTTTTTTTTTTAATTTTTTTTTTTAAAGTCTACTGTGCGGTGCCAATCAGGGCTGCACAGTAGAGATGATTGGAAAGGGAAGGACGGTGGGTATTTAACATAGCAGGCTTCTCTCAGGGGATGGAGGGGGGATTTTTTAAAAGGATAAGTTCACTAAAACCTATATTTCACCTTACCCCCCAATGCATGCTAGGCTTCACATTTTCACTCTAAACTTAAACATTTTGCTCATCCTAAGTTCCACCTCCTGCAAGCTGTGTTAGTTCTAGTGAAGGCACCATGCTGCACATGAAACTACAGAGATGTACTCTGTCCAGCAACCATTCATCTGAAAGTGGGGCAAAGGTAGTTGCTAGTGCTGGATGTGAGCCTCCGCTTTGTTACTTAACAGGTACCCTGACAGCTTCAGCTCAAGGGCCAAAGAGATCCCAATATGAGGTTTTCCATGCGAGTCTCATCTGCTTCAGTAATGTGCAATTTCCCTGCTGGAATCTATGTAGGTACTTGAAAATCTAACATGGTTATCTGGCTTCCGCGCTTTACCAAGTATAGACTAGTCCTGTTTAATGGGAGCGGGGTCTAAAGGTATTGCCAAGTTAGCCGACTTGCAATGATATCTATGAAAATATATGACGACTTCTGTTGCTGAACTTTTCTTCTAAAACTGCTAGTTAATTGGATTCCATGTTGGTCCTGTTCGTTTTGATCATGTTGGCATGTTTGTTTTGGGTCAGTGACTCAAAGTATTGAGGCCAAGTAAGTAGCATTATCAGGAGGTCAGCAGTGGCAGCCTACATAGTTCTCTTTAGCGCAAATTTACTTTAACTTTGTATGTAACTTCAGCGTCTTTCATTTAGTTTTGGATAGCGTGGGAAAAGGTTAAGTCTGTCAAGTATGTATCTGCCTCCATTTGTGAACTTTGCTGTTACCACTTGTGCCACCAAGCCAGACCATTATCCATTTTACTGTCCTGATGGTTAGACTGATACGGTATCATAAATAGTTCCAAAGTACAGTGGGGGAATTATTAAAACGTGTTTAACAAATTACTCTATCCATAGTGAACAGTTTGGATGAAGGAATCTTCCTCTACGGCTATGGTATTTTGACAGTGGGCCCTGCCAGCTGTCCTAATACCTAAATATTGCCTGCATCTGATTGGATGAAGGCACAGTTGAGGTGCCCAAACACCTTGCGATTATCGTACGATAATCGTGGGAAATCCCGCGATTGTACATTAATACCCAAGGTGTATGGAAGGCGTGCGACCGTTTCTACTATACGGTCGCACGTCTTTTGTCTAACGAGCATGTTTGAAAACCCGCCGAGAATCGCACGATTATCGGCGGGTTTGTGGCATGCTCGGGAGACAAATGCCAAACGGGCCGGTGTGCGCAAGCGCACACTGCCCGTTCA